GCGTGTTCCTGCTGCGATCTGCCGCGATCCGTCGCTCGTTCCTACCGTGCCGCGATATGTCGTTTCCTCCTGTGTCATTCGCTCCTGCTGTGTGGGGATCCGCTCTCTCGTTCGCTCTTGCCGTGCCGCGATCTGTCATTCGCTCCTGCCGTGCCGCGATCTGCCGTTCGCTCCTGTCGTGCCACGATCTGCCGCAATCCGCTCGCTCGTTCGCTCCAATCTGACGATTCACTCCGTTCGATCGTCACGATCACGACTGATTCAAACATCGCAGCGCTCTTCGATCTTTGATCTTCGATTCTAGGCTTTCGATTTGAATTGGCTTTCGATTTGAATTTTATTTTTATTTATCTTGGATATTTTGATCGAGATTAATATATTTAAAATGTCTTTTGAAAACTTAGCTATCAAATTTACGAGATAGAATTATGCCTCATGGATATTTAAGCTCAGATTGTTCTTAAAAGGGAAGGAGCTTTTGGGCCATATTGATGGATCTTCCCTTGCTCCTACTGAGACAAAAGCTCTTGGTCAATGGGAAGCAAATGATGCTCGAATTATTCCCTTGATTTTTGGATCTATTGAGGCTCATATGCTGAACAATTTATGATTTTTTGGCACAGCTAAAGAAATATGAGAATACTTGAAGCATGTTTATAATCAAGATAATTTTGCGAAACACTTCCAATTGAAACTTGACATGAGTAATTATAGTCAAGGTAATCTTTCAATCGAACAATATTATTCTGGTTTTTTAAATTTATGGAGTGAATATACTGATATTATCTATGCTAAAGTGTCAAAGGAGAACTTAGTTGGTGTTCAAGCCATTCATGAAGAAAGTCATCGTGATCAGTTTTTAATGAAATTGAGACATAAATTTGAAACTGCTCGAGCTGGGTTGCTGAATAAAGATCCGATTCCGTGTTTGGATGTTTGTTTTGGGCAATTGCTGCAGGAAGAACAAAGATTGACAACACAAGCTACTATCAGTACAACAGGTGGATCATCAGAAATAATTAATGTGACATATACTGCTAAGACCAAAGGGAAGGGGCCAGTATAGTGCTACAACTACAAGAAATTTGGTCATATTGCACGGAATTGTGAAAATAAGACATGTAATTATTGCAAGAAAAAGGGACATACTCTTACAGAATGCCCAACACGACCCCAAAATCGCAAACCACAAGCACTTCATGCCAGGGTGTTCGACAATCCTGCCTCGACTTCTACTGTTGCTGATAATAATCAATCAACTGTCAGACCCTATATGGTTCAACAGATGATTCTCGCTGTATTTTCTGCTCTCGGCCTTCAAAGGAAAGATAAAACTATTTCTTCGATTACTTCTCCTTGGTTTGTTGATTCAGACGACACAAATCATATGACTAGCACTGCCGAGCTATTGTATAAACAACGACCATACTCTGGTACTCAACATATTCAGGTTGCTGATGGAAATAATATTCCAATTACGACAGTTGGTGATATTAACTCATCCTTCAAACATGTTTTGTTTTCTCCTAAATTATCTACTAACTTACTCTTTATTGGTCAAATTGTGCATAATAACTGTGAAGTACATTTTTTCTCGTGATGGTTGTATTGTGCAGGATATGTGTCGAGGAAAGTGATAGCGAAGGGGCCTAAAGTGGGCAGACTGTTTCCATTACAATTTACAGTTCCTCAGAATATTTCATTAGCATCTTTAGTTGTTGAGAATAAGGAAGACATCTGGTTTAAAAGACTAGGTCATCCAAACGAAATGGTGTTTAAGCATTTACATAAAAGTTGTGTTTTTTGTTCTACCAATAAGAATTTAGTAGTTGATTGTTCTGTTTTTAAACTTGAAAAAAGCAAGACATTACATTTTCCTATTTCAAGCAGTCATGCCAATAAATGTTTTGACATTATTCATAGTGATGTTTGAGGAATTATACCAGTTATTTCATAGGCTCAATATAGATATTTTGTGACATTTATTGATGATTACAGTTGATTTACTTGGATCTATTTTTTGCGTACCAAAACAAAAGTATTTACTGTATTCCAAACATTTTTAGCATATGTTGAAACTCAGTTCTCTTCTCCGCTCGTATTAAAACCTTACGATCTGACAATGGCGGTGAATACATGTCTCATGAGTTTCAAGCATTTCTCCATAACAAAGGGATTGTTTCTGATTGTTTCACAATGTTCTTGTCCCTATACATCGCAGCAAAATGGAGTTGCTGAACGAAAAAAAATCAACATCTATTGGATACCGTGCGCACATTACTGATAGAATCTTTTGTTCCAGCTAAATTTTGTACTAAAGTTTTATCTACTGCAGTTTATCTCATTAATCGCTTGTCATCTCAACAATTCAAGTACGAGTCTCCCTACTATCGAGTTTTTGATAAACACCCTAATTATCAAATTATCATATGCTATACGCTACATACTTTTGGATGTGTTTGCTTTGTTCATCTACCTGCTCATGAACGTCATATATTGGCAAATCAGTCAGTCTGATGTGCCTTTATGGGATAGAGTCCTAATCATAAAGGTTTTGTGTGTTTTGATTTGATTAATAGTCGATGACACATTTCTCGAAATGTGATTTTCTTTGAACATGAATATTACTTTCAATATCATGTGTCCACATCAGATACAATTATACTTCCACAAATTGATAATTCTTCTGCTGATAAAAGGTTCAAGCCAGACATTGTTTAAGCCAGACATTATCTACACACGACGCCTGCCCCCTTCACCTTCAATCCTCCCCGACCCTGACAATAAGTATTCGACGGTCAAGCTGATGTATCCGTCCTCCAGATAGATATGGGTATTCTGAAATTTTAATTAATACTACTGTTCTTACCTCTTATTTTCAAGCTGTTAAACAGACTTGCTGGGTCAAAGCCATGAAAGAGGAACTTCAGGCACTTCAAGACCGCACT